ACAACACTTTCAAATAATTAAGTGAATGTTATCAAATTTAACGATGAGACTACTAGTGAATTAAATGAGTATTCAATTTTGTTTGAGACAACTTTAGTTTTCTCAAATTGGAAATTGAGAAATTAATTTTTTTTTCATTAATTAATTTTCAGTTTTATTTTGTGTTTGAATAAATTATTCATTTAGAAAATCAAAATTTCTAATAATAAAAATATAACAAAACTTTTCAATTATTTCTAATTAAATGGGTATGTTGAAGTATTTTATTAAGTAAGAAAAGTTTTGTGATAAATTTTGATCAAAAAATTATATAGGACCTAGATAGGATACGCGTGGTACTCCTGTTTAATCCCAATTATGAGTACATGCATTAAATGAGATCGAGCGATCAAAGTCGCCATAGGTTATAGGATTAGTTACGGCTTTGACCGTTCTGATTAATATCAACGGTGATAAGGCGAATGCGAAAAAATAAAAGAGCCAAAGAAACTGTTAACTCAAAATGAATGGAATTAATGTGCATATCGCGGTGTGTGGGCGTTGAGTAATAGCGTATATAGTGTTGATGTCCGTTCGGTATTCGCTTTCCTTGTCGGCATCGGTTGGAAAGTGTGCAGCAAACGAACGTAAACAGAAAGAGCGACAACAACAGCAAACAGCAGAAACAACAACAATAACACCGATGTCTGCGTCGTTGAAAACAAAAAAAGGAAGAGTTTAAAGAAAGAGGAGAAAGAAAGGCAAAATAAATAATAATAATAATAATGATGATTATAAAAAAAAAACAACAACAAGAGTCAGTCGGTCTGTGTATGTGTGTTTATATTGTTATGCGTACGGCGGATCGAAATGCATCGTCGGTGATTGATAGCTCTATCGAGAACGGCGTTTGAAGTTGCTTGGCTCGCGTTCGAGCTATGCGAACTTTGCGGTCGTTCAACTTCCCCCCAGGCCAATGTTGCTTTCTCTCTTTCTCTCACTCACTCGCTCACACTCTCTGGTGCACTACACTCTCCGCTCTTTCTTTCTGTCCATCGCGAGTTCGCTATTTCTCCTACTTGCACCAGGAGAGAGATCCATGATCCCCCATAACACAACTCTCACTAGCACTTTGCAAAAAAAAATATAATATAATATGATATTCTTGATATCTCAGAAGGATAACGAGATTATTATACCTGAATTTAAACATGTTTTTAATTAATATTTTCATTAATTTCTATTAAGTAGATCGATTTGTGTATAGAAAAACTAATTACATAACCCCTAGTATTGATACATGGGGCATACCATACAAAATTAGTATACAGATCTACAAAATGTGGTGTTAACATATTTAGTAATAGTTGAAATTGACTCGTTTGGAAATTCAATTAATTTGTACCAAGTATAGATACCTGGGACAGCCCTCAGAATATTAGTAAACACAGCAAAGACAGGTAGAGCTTGATTTTTAATCCAATATTTAATTAAATTGGTTTGATTTAGTAAATCACTAAATTGGATTAGTTTATAGAAAAACTAATTACATAAGATCTAGTATTGATACATGGGGCATACCATACAAAATTTGTATACAGATCTACAAAATATGGCGTTAACATATGTAGTAATAGTTGAAATTGACTCGTTTAGAAATTGAAATAATTTGTACCTAGTATAGAAACCTGGGGCAGCCCTAAGAATATTAGTAAATATAGCAAAAACAAGTACACCTTGATTTTTAATCCAATATTTAATTAAATTGGTTTGATTTAGTAAATCACTAAAGTAATTGGATTAGTTTATAAAAAAAACGAATTACATAAGACCTAGTATTGATACATGGGGCATACCATACAAAATTAGTATTCAGATCTACAAAATGTGGTGTTAACATATTTAGTAATGGTTGAAATTGACTAGTTTGTAAATTGAAATAATTTGTACCTAGTATAGATACTTGGGGCAGCCCTCAGAATATTAGTAAACACAGCAAAAACAGGCACACCTTGATTTTTAATCCAATATTTAATTAAATTGGTTTGATTTAGTAAATCAATAAAGTAATTGGATTAGTTTATA